GCATGACTAAACACCAAGGCGCACGGAACGCTGTTACCTTCCCACCGAAGTGGTACCTATTTATCTACTTGCAATTTCTTGCTTTCAAACTGCTGGAACTAGAGACGGGAGCTCACTCCATCATGCGGCAACTCGGGTCTTGAACTGCTGAACTACTGACCTTCCACAGCCTGCAGTTCCAGCGTCTTAACCACTTGAGTCACCGCAGTCCCTTTACGTACATTACTGAACAGCTTTTCAGTAGCTCTAAAGTAAATTGAAGTCATCCACAATTACGAGCATTTAACAGTGATGGTCCCCAGTTTTTCTTTTACAACAGAGTAGGGCTAGTGTAACCCCTAGCTAGGAATGCAATGAGCCAGGAAGAGTTGGAGCCTTTAGATGTAGAGGGGTGCAGAATGTGTGGAAAGCAGAAGAGGGAAGCAAGACTGCCCTGCTGGGGAGCTTGAATTGTAATAACAGGCTCTTAACATCTTGTTTAAGGTCACTAGGATTTGGGTACAGAAACTGTTAAGGGAGGGAGGCTTTTGTTCTAAATGGTAAATTATTGTTTTGGAGCTGTGTTATCTGACGGGGAATGGGACCCTCATCTTTGAAGCCGGTGCACAGGGTGTTCAGCCAGAGACTTCTTGCGCCACCAAGAAGAAAGAGATGGGCTTTGGGGCTGGCAAGCTGTGAAGGAGGGAAAAGTCAATTGTTTGGACTTTAAAAGAGAATTCTTCTGTTGTGTTACGCAGTTCTATGTTTTTGTTACATGATATAATGTTAAGTGAAAAGTAAAATTGTTATATTCTCTTTTAATTATTTCAAGATTCATTCCAAGTTCTGCCCCACAGAATCCAAAAACTGAGGTTATACTAGTATGTGAACAACTGATGGTTAGCACACTGACACTAGATCACATAGGGCTGCCAGCCTCCAAGTGGTGGCTGGAGGTCTCCCACTATTACAACTGATCTCCAGGCAACAGAAATCAAGTCACCTGGGGGAAATGACCACTTTGGAAAGTGGACTTTAGGGCATTATATCCACTTGAATTCCTTCCTTTCCCCAAACCCCACCCCCCTCAGGGTCCACCCCAAAAATCTGGCAACCCTAGGCAATCAGGAATCTGGCAAAAAGCTGAACAAAAGCCACCGGCATCCTCCCTCCAGCAAATACAAGCCACAGAAAAGAGCATAGACATCTGTTAGGAAGACCAAATGCCCAGCATTTTCTCCAAACATCAGGCAATCAGGATACCGCTTAAAAAACCAAAAGCAGGCCATAGAAACAAACAAATGACTCCTGAACATTCCCATCGTTCTGTAGACTATTTATTTTCTAAACTTTTTTCTGGAGTATATGGTAAGCCGCTTTGAGAGTCCTGAAGTGGGGTATAAAACCAACTCTCTCTGTCTCACGTTGGTGCACGCAAGATATCCCTGTAGCTACATGTTTAACATGTTTAACTCTCTCTGTCTCACGTTGGTGCACGCAAGATATCCCTGTAGCTACATGTTTAACAGTCTTAGCCCTATCTTCCAACCTAACTGGAGTAGAGGAAAATAATGTAGAATGCTGGGCGGGGGGAAGTAATAGTGGGGCAAAAACGAATTAAATGAATAATGTAAGGTCACCAAGAGAACAGGACTCAGCTTTTTGGAATACCTTTTCTTTTCAACTGCTCAGCCTACCTTATAGGGTTATTGTGTGGGCACGAAGAAGAGCCACGAAACAGGTTCGTAATACACTACCCATTACGATGGGACTTCTGTTCCTTTAAAAGGGAAAGGAAGGCGCTCACTGCTCAGTCTCCCAGCGTGTGGAATCTGCTGATCGTTTCTAGGTAAACTTAGAACATGGCGATTGAAACTAATAGTGTGAGCTGAGTTTTTTTTTTGGGGGGGGAGAACTTGGGGCAAGTTCAAAGGGGACCGCGGGGGGGATACAAAGGAATGCTTAATACTTGTTTGTTCTCCCCCCGCCAGTTTAGTCGTTAATAGAAAGCTTCCTTCTTCGACCGCTGTTGAGTGTCAGCTGCCTCTTTTCTGTATTATTTCGAAGGGCATGAATATGCGGAATGTTAGTCTCTCTTTCTGCAATCGGTGAGTTCTAGAGGGCTGTGAGTGATACGAAAGTATTTCACGACAGCGCTTAGTGTCGTGAAAGCGACCGTTCTGTTTGTTTTGAGTGCTCGGATCTTTTATAAAGGCAATTGTTGCGATCTGCCTGCAGGGAAAATCCGGGAGGGAGTTGTCACTCTAGCGTCCATGTTTTTTTTAACGTTACTCACCTGTGAACTCTCTTTTATCGTGTCTATCAGTTAATTTCAAAACAAAAACCGTAGGAGGTTTAATAGTCTGGAGGGGGTTGCTTAAAAACGATGAACAGCATCCCTTCAAGAGAAATCTTAAAGTTCAGATAAAACCTTTTTTCGCCCCGTCCACAACAATGAAAAAGATTAAAAATGTGTCCCAAATTTTAGAGGGGTGCCTAATGTGAGGTTTTTGTGCCCTGTCAGCTTAAGCTAAATCAATGTGATGACCATGATTTAAATCCAGTTGTTTGACCAAGCTTTATTAGGTTTGTTAGCTTTGTGAAAAACTGCTTGGTGCTTAAACTAAAGCAGTTGTGAGTTATGATGTCTTAAATCTCTAAACTGTTGGCTCAGGCTTAGCTCTGGTAAACAATGCCTTAATAACAAATTGTGACTGACACTAATTGACGCTTCCTTTTTACAGGACTGGGGCATCTTGGCTTTCAGTGTACACACATTGCTGTATTAGTCTGCTGGACACTGATGTGGGCAGCAGGGCTGCCAAACTTTCACTTTGTAATGTAAGAACTCTTTTATTATATGATGACGTCCCGGGACTATATTAACACAGGGGTCCCAGGATTACAATAGGATTGCCATTTTCCCCCCTGCCGAGCTCCTGTGACTTTAAAAGCAGTGTGAAAGCAAGGAAAGTCTTCCTCTACTGTCTGTCTCTTCCTTTCATTCTGTGATCACATGTTGAATTTCTGCCTTTCATTGGGCAGTTGAAGACATGAGAGCCCTGCTTGGGGGCGGGGAGTGGTAATCTTAGATTATTGATTGCATTAAGTAGTATTGTAATATTCTCTTCCGCATTGAAATTGCAAAGGTATGAGTGCATATTCTCTACCGGGTAGTTTGTATAGTTCCTAGCACAAACTTTTTGTCTTTGAAGTTCATGATTTTTTAAAAATTAAACATCCTGCACCCAAATGCATGGGGGGGGGGCTTTGTTTTAAATTGTGTGTTTAATACTGCAGTGTGAGTTGCTTTAATATATCAAAATCACTGCTCAGCCATGAAACTCTTATAATAGCCTTTCAGCTTTGGCCTCCAAAGAAAGCCTAGGAGAGAAATTTATATCAGTGCACTAAAGCAGATGGAGCTAGAAAAGCCCTTAATCAGATTCCAATTAATTACGAAGTTCCTGGTAATGAAATGATCACAGTTGTTACACACCAGGAGAAAAGAGCAAGCCATCTTATCAAATTATGTGTACTTGCAGGTTGATGTCAGCATATTTATGAACATGTATCTTGCCTCCGTGGAGCTGCGGTGGCTCAAGTGGTTAAGACGCTGAACTGCAGGCTGTGGAAGGTCGGTAGTTCAGCAGTTCGAGACCCGAGTGTGCCGCATAACGGAGTGAGCTCCCGTCTCTGGTTCCAGCTCCTGCCAACCTAGCAGTTCGAAAGCAAGAAATTGCAAGTAGATAAATAGGTACCACTTCAGGGGGAAGGTAACAGCGTTCCGTGCGCCTTGGTGTTCAGTCATGCCGGCCACATGACCACAGAAATGTCTTCGGACAGTGCTGGCTCTTCGGCTTTGAAACGGAGATGAGCACTGCAACCCTAGAGTTGGATTCGACTGGCTTTCGAGCAAGGGAACCTTTACCTTTATCTTGCCTCCATCCTGCTACTGGGTGAATTAAATTAGGATGCACCCATCTGATTAAAATACTTTTATAAGGATTCTTTGGAAGTGATTACTTTCTGAAATGTTCACACACAGTTCATGTATGGGAAATAATTATCTTCTTCCAAATAACATGAATTAGGTCTACTGAAGTCAGAATGGGGAGGTATCTAACCATTTATCCTGTGTTTATAATCATAATTCTATGGAAGTTTTCATTGGTAGCACTTCAGTCCATTCACTACAAATAATTGTCAGGGAGAGGTTGTTCTTGGGAATTGAACAAAGTTTGAGTCCAGTGGCACCTTTAAGACCAACACAGTTTTATTTAAGATATGAGCTTTCATGTGCATGCACACTTCCTCAGTTACAATGAAATGGAATTTACCAGTCCACACATATAAGGCAGAGATTGAACAGCAAATTAGCATACAACATTATGAAGATGTTTTAACAGATGCAAACAGGAATAACAAGCTAAGTTTATAAGGTCACCATTGTTTGGATTTAATTCCAGGGAAAGACAGTAAAGCAAATAAATATGTAAAAATTGGAGATAGACATGTAAATGTATCATTCTTAATTACTCTTAGCACTCCACAATTAACTGAGACCTTGTTACTCTCCATCGGTCTCCTCTCAAGCATGGAGGTAACTAATAGCATCTTTTTCTTTGAGGTGGGGAGATTTGTAATGCATTGTTGTGTCTCCTCTGTTACCAGACCAGAGAAATACATTCCAGTATACCATTCTAATATTCATTGCATCACATTACGATCACTATTCTAATCTACTATTCGAAATAAGAAATATACTAACATAAAGAGGATGTACAACCCTTCTTGGTGAGAATACAGATATAATGACTGAATCAATTTAGCGTACGTAGTGAGATAAGAAACCAATTATCCATGTTAAGTCCGGGGGGGGGGAGTGTTTTGAGTACTGTAATAACTTGTATTTCAACAATTTCCTTTTCTAGTTTTTTCTGAAGTTCCTTTGCAATAAAGCAGCTACTTTGAGGTCACCCACTGAATGTCCTGGAAGGTTGAAGTGTCCTCCTACAAGTTTCCCAGTCTTGTGATTCTTGATGTCAGATTTGCGTCCATTTATCCTTTGGAGTAGGGTTTGACCTGTTTGCCCTATGTAGAGATGTGAAGGGCATTGTTTGCCTTTAATGGCATATACAATTTTAGAAGATGAGCATGTGAGTAAGCCTGAGGTGGTGAAATTGACGTTGTTGGAAGCTAGAAAAGCCTGCGGCTATCCCAAGTCTCTGGTTGGGGACATGCCTTTTCACCTTGCTTTCCAAGGATGCCAATTTCAACCAAAATATCCACTGTCTGCCACCAATGACTCTTAGAAGAACCTCTGCCAGACAGAGTCATACATTTAACACTGTGTAGCTGCGTTGCACTTCAGATGCCTCGCCGAATTGCTGCTACCTTTCTACATGCAAGTGCGAGGTGACCCATCACAACTTTGTACTATAGAGCTATTGTGCTCCAGAAATGGAGAGCTCCTCTCCTGCCCCTCCCCAGAACTACATTTCAGAAAACTATAGGCTGAATAGGTGTGGTGAGTTTCCAGAGATGAGTCTTGCACAGTTCAAAATATTTTTAAAAAATCAATAAGTGAATAAAGGAATGCACATGCTCCGTTCAAGGTTCTGAGCTTAGCAAGGGGACAAAGAAAAGGAGAAAACACACAGACCTATTTCTCTTCTCTAGGTACTTCTTTACTGATGTTTGATTTAGGACAGCAAGCTTTCAGTGACGTTGCAGTAAGCTAAGGTTCATCATTACTGTAGATCTCAGGATTGGGACTCCTTTCCATTGCTCCCTGCCTAGTGGACTGGGTGAAGTCCCTAGGTTGAAAGGTTAGTCCATCATGGCCTATGCACATCTGAAGATGGAAGAAGACCACTGTCCCCAGTGTACAGAATTTTTATAACCCCTCCTCCCCCTCCCCCGCTTTGGAATGGGCTTCCTGTCCAAAGGGCATAGTCTTCTCAGCTTCATGTCTCTAGATGTGACTTACTAGCAGCTAATGAGGTTGTAATCCATTAGTGTAATTAAGGGCTTGAGTGCTCTGTGCTGGGAGCCTGATGGCTCCTATCTCCCAACTCCTCTCCCTTATACCAGCCATCTTTCTGCAGCACAACTCCTATTCAGGGACAGATCAGTCACAATAATTGAAAAATTGGGGTGAATTCGTAGGTGGCGGATGTTTCTCCACCATCCTCCTGTTCAGTTAGTTGATTAGATTGCAACTATGTCTTGATAATAATTTATTGTGTGTGTGTGTGTGTTTTGTTATAGGATCATGGGAAATCTTCTGCACGGTGTCCCACACCGGACAGCATGGTGATTTATCTTTGAACTTGTCTAGAGATGACCTGAAGTGAAAATCTGTTTGTCAGAATAATGTGGGCTACCAAAAGTATATACAGATTGCAACGACAACAGGTTCGCCTGAAGGAGGCTGGACTATATAGCACTTCGTTTCTTAAACTCCAGCAGTTTGGGGCTAATGCTGATAGTTGTTACACTTTACAAACTATCCGTGTCTTAACGACATGCAATGTAAGTATGAATTCACTTCTGTATGGTTGTGTGTACTATTTTTCCTCCAAGAGAATAGAAATTACCATTTAATTAGTGTCGCATTACAGTTTCACTTGTGTATCATGGGGCCTTATAAATCTGACTTTTGAAGAAGATGTATACACGAAGGTCTGCTTCTTTCTTTACATATTATCACATGTGAAATACAGTTTTGTAGAGGGAGAAAAATGGTCACTTATTAAGAGAGCACATTTAGAAGAATGAACAGATCAGGAAACTCATTTTCTTCCAGGTATGTGGCAGGTCAGGCAAACGCAAACCCTTTAAGAAGGTGTTGAGACATTTGATATGTGGCAGAAAACTAGGATTAATAGGGGAGAAAATCAGTGGGAACAGCAGCAGCATTTTGGACAGTTGTCCTTGAAGCTGGTACATCATTTTCTCAGTGTGAAAACCATCACATAGCTATTCAAACAAGTTGAGAAGGTTAACCAGTTTTACGTCTGTGCATATCTTTGGGCAACAAAAATTTTGATTTGGCAAGATATTTTCCTGGAACAAATTGTTATGGAGGGTGAATGATTGACTTCAGGGCTGCTTATTGTACAGTGTGAGCCTAACCGGATTCCTCTATCCTGAGAGGTCATTAGCAGGGCTGGTGAGGCTGCCTGGTATGCCCCTGTTAGATTCTGATGCACATTTCTTGTTGGGGTTTACCTTCTTCTGCTTACTCTGTTACAGTGGGATAGTTGGTAAGTAGGAATTAAAGTAGGAATAGACTATGCACATCGAGGTGAAAGTAAGTCCCACTCAGTTTAGCAGCACTAGCTTCCAAGGAAACATGTATAATTGGGCATTCATGTTGTCATTTTAAGCTTAATTAAGGGGGAAATAAGCAAATATATGGGACCAGTCTGGGTAGGACTAGGCTGCTAGAATACAAGTATGTACAAAATATGCAACACAAGAGTGGTAATATACTGTTTTCTAATTCTGGCACATGGTCCAAAAAATGCAGTTTTGCAGCTAAAGACAAAGAAAAATAGAAACTCTGTATTTCCTTAAATTATTCCTATTCTTCTCCTGTTTTTTTCTGCAGTACAGCATAATTGATAGAGTAAATAGTGTAATCAGTAATAAAATCAAACAATTAAAAACTAGTTAGTAGAAAAGTTAGAATGCAAAATATAGACATCCTACAGTTAAGGCACCCAATGGTTGATTTCTACTGGAACATGTATACTTATGGTGGAGGTGATTTTCCCTAACTCCTCTTTCAAATAGCAGACACCTTCATCATGTCCACTGATGTTTCTAGGGTTTTCTTGAGCCATAGGAGTAGTACCTCAGTGTGTGTGGGTGGTACAGTGGAATTAAGAGTAGAAAAATTCTGAACGTGGAGTTCCACTCACAGATTGTACGATGCAACGCATAATTAGTAAAAAACCAGTTCTATAATAGAACAGAGAACAAATCTATAATCATATAAAAGGGTGTACATTAATAGCAGCATGTTTAGAATTTGAAATCTATAAACCAGCCACATTTCCCCCAAAACATTCGTTTTAGTCATTTTTTTAAAAAATCCTTCTTTGTTATTCTAAAAATATTAATATTCTAACTGTATGAGTAGGTTTCCCACGTTCAAAATACATGGTTGATAATGGACATCCCAACAGCTGTCAACAGAAGGAGAAGCAATACAGTTTTTGGAAGAGCACCATGTGGTAGAAGGCAATATGAGATGGAAGGTATTATTTATTGTTAATTCTATTTTAAATATGTCTCTTCTGCAGTCACAGTTGTTTTTGGGGCTCTGAAGGTGGTTTTCAGTAGAATGTTAAAATGCTGTTATAGTCAATCAAGCAGCAAAGTAAAATAATCAAAAAGCACCAACAAAAACATGATTTTAAAACTGTGGAATTTTACAATGTGAATATAAAACTCTTATAATATAAAGCACTAAACTTAATTAAGCAGCAAGAACAATACAAGCTGGTAACAAAATAAACTTACATGATCTCTTAAAACCAGCCAATCTAACAAGCACGAAGATTAAAACCAAGCAACAAAACGTATGGCAAAATGAATTAACATTTGATAACAAACTTCACAATATGTTAGCAGCAGGGCTGAAAGTTTGACAGCCTGTTCATGTTTTTGATTGTGCAGAGAAGTTGGTTGCACATACACATACTGTTGTGTCGTGGCTTCCCTCTTTCTATTCGGTACTTCAGTGCCATCCTAAGTGGAGTTAAACCCTTCTCAATCCATCAAAGTCACTGGGCTTGGAGGGGTATAACGTTGCTTAAGGTGATGCTGTAAGTTACAGTGAATGACCTGCAGATGTGAGGAGTCTCCCTCTGTGCCTTGTGGCTGCCAGAGCCTATGTTTGTTAATCGAAAAAGCTGGTGAACTGTCTAAATCAGAAATAATTGAAGCATGCATATTCTGACAGTGCTTTGCCGTGCCTATCCTCTCCCTGTAAACCATTTTCTGTCCCAAGGAAATCAATCAACTTATAAAACTGGTTGTGTCTTCACAAAGGAGTGCAGGTCTCTTCCCCTTTCCTGGGTCTACTCTAGACTCACTGCCACCACCAGAAGTTCTCGTGGATCAGCAGGGATCCATATTTATTTGAACTTCCGGTCTCTCCCCTTATGACCTCCTCAAATGACTCAAATATGGGAGAGTGAGCAACATTTTTAGCTCCACCCACCCATTTTGGAGCTGTCCCTTCAGCACCAACTATAAAGAAAAACATGTCCAAGCAGCTTTAGGCGATATGGGTGAGGCTTTTTGACATGTCTGGCCCTGTAAACCCAAGCTCACAGATTTAATAAAACTTTATTAATGAAATAAATCCTAATCTTTTGGAAACTATGGACTGGTAGAAGTAAGGCAAAGTACAAACGAACATAAAGGTAGTTGCTGGCTCATATTTACTTACAAAGCTTATATCCTACTTAAGAATGGGTCCAAGACTGAGGTTATTAGAGATCTAGACAGAGCTGTAAGAACCTGTCCCCACTACCAGAATCTTGGATACTAAACCCCCCACCCCCCACCCCCATATTTGATTTTTGGACTTCTTTCCTAGTTTGTGAGTTCCCAGCCTGGGCAAATCAGAACTTGGTGTGCAGGTACAAATTTTCCCTCTAAGATGGCTATTGACCAATAACTTCCAAAGTATAGATTAAAGAAGTTTTGCTTCACAGAAGAGTGAGAGACTAGTAATAATTTGTTAGGGAAATGGACAGCCTATCCCAAATGGTAACATTTGGCCAGGGCCCAGTGCATCCATCACCATTAAAATGTCATACATACACACACACACACACACACTCCCTTTGTGGAATGTAACTTGGGTATCCTGTTTCCCAGTTCCAAGAGATAACCCTGTATGAACCCTAAAAGCACATTTATGCTTTCACAGTGGTAGGCTCCTTCCTCCAAAAGAGTTAACTAAGATTTTTCACCCAGTGGACTGAATGTAAAATTTGTTCATGCCATGGTCAATTTCATCTTCAGTATATTGGGGAGCACTCTTTCTGATCTTTCCTAAATCCTATTTCTGGCTTTGGATACTGACTAATCTCTACACTAGTGTAACTTTAAAAAAGTGTGCCGATGCTGGGAAGTTGTAACCGCAGTGCTGGCACAGAAATGGGCCAAGAGATTCAACACTGTTATGTTTTGTTTGTTTGTTTTTAAATTTAGAACTCCACTTCTTCAATTGCTTTTTTTATGTTGAAGTCCAGAGAACCACTCTCAGTAGGTTTATAATCAGTGCTTACAGTTCTAATATATCACTGGGCTGAGAATTCAGGGCTTTGAAGGAAAGCTACTGGCAGTCTCTTACACTTTCTCCACAACTTTTAGCCATTCCTTTTATATTCTCTGATCAGTATTTTGGAATTCCTGGAAACATTTTTTCCAGTGCTAGAAGATGTTATTTTACTGAATCAGTTTCTTCTAAAAAAACAATAGCAATACTTAGAATTTGTATAGCATTTTTCAGTGTTAAGAATGTTGAACATACATGTCTAGGACTGGGGGAACCCCGAGATTAAACAGGATAGTATGGTGGTGATAAGAGAGGTTGCTGCCTGTGGCTGCCCTCCTTTAAAGGGATGCCGCCACCCAGGGGTCTTTTCATAGCATATGGTATGCTAATGGGCTACTAGGCTATTAGCATATGCCATGCCCCCTGACATCACCGGAAGTGATGTCAGAAGGGGAAGCAAAAGGGGGGGAGGCATCATCAAAAGCCTCCCCTTCCCTTCCCCAGCTGGCCTGCGAGAGGAAAGAGAGAGAGTGGAGAGAAGGAAAGAGGGAAAGAAAGAGAAGGAAAGAAGGAAGGAAAGAGGGAAAGAAAGAGAAGGAAAGAAGGAAGAAGAGAATGAAAGAAGGTGGTAAAGAAAGAGAGAGAAGGGAAGAAGGAGGAAAAGAGGAAAAGGAGCGAAGGAAAGAAGGAAATGAAAGAGAGAAGGAAAGGAGGAAAAGAGAGGAAGGAAGAGAAGCAAAAGAGGGAAAGAAAAGGAAAGGAGGGAAAGATGGCAAAGAGATGGAGGGAGGGAGGCTCTCCCACCACCCCCCCATCAAGCCCCTGCCACCCCCACGGATCCCTTACTTACCGTTTCGGCGTGGGCCCAGGGGACCCGGCTGCGGGGCTCTCTGGGTTCCCCCAGCCCCAGTGCTTTGGTGTGAGCCCGGGAGACCCGGCTGCGGGGTTCTTCAGGCCTCCCCCTGGCCCCAGCGCTCTGGCGCGGGCCTGGGAAACCAGGCTGCGGGGCTCTCCGGGCTTCCCCTGGCCCCAGCGCAGGCCCAGGGGACCCGGCTGCGGGGATCTCTGGGCTTCCCCTGGCCCCAGCGCTCCTGCGCGGGCCCAGGAGACCCGACTGCGGGGCTCTCCGGGCTTCCCCTGGCCCCAGCACTTCTGCGCGGGCCCTTGGGACCCAGCGACGAGGCTCTATGGGCCTGCCCCTGGCCCCAGAGCTTCGGCGTGGGCCCAGGGGACCCAGCAGCGGGGCTCTTTGGGCCTTGCCCCAGTGCTTCAGCGTGGGCTCAAGGGACCCAGCAGCGGGGCTCTTCGGGCCTCCCCCCGGCCCCAGCACTTCAGTGCAGGGAGATGGGGGTGGGGCTTGCTGCGCTGGCTCCTGGGCTCCCGGAGTGGTGCTCCAGCACGCTCCGGTCCCAAAAGACCCCTGCCGCCACCCTCCTAACCGAAGAGCTAAACTCCAGAGCAGCTTGGGGGATGGAATGAAATAGTGAGGAAAGCTGAGTTGTCACAGTGCCTTTAAAAGTGGACAAGATGCAGGCTGATGACGCACCAGGCCCTCTTTCTTAGCTGTGATGGACATTCTCTGTGAGTGGAGGAACCAGGTGATGACTTTTCCCCCTCTCTGTTCTGTGGCTGTCGTTGGCCCCGACAGAGGAAATGCGGGGAGGACTAGCCGTTGAAGAGTGGGCCATTACTACCTGCCCTCACAATACGTCATCCTCTTATAGTTCTTGCAAGGGTCCTGTTAGGTGAATATTATTATTCCTACAGGGCAGGTATGTGTGTGTAGTCTGGTAATGTACTCTGCTGAGTTTATGACTCATGTGAGCTCCAAACAGGGCCTTCCTGATTCATAGGTCAGTCTTTTAGCCACAATGCTGTGCTATAATCTGATATGAAGCTCAAGCTACATTCTTTTGGTTTAACTGGTTGTCAGGCAGTGTTTCCGACTACCTAGCACAGGTAATAAGAAAAATGATTGGGGGTAGCAGTTTACCTTCCAAGTCCCAAAATATAGAAGAATTTATTCTAACCAAACCCACAAGTTAATAGGGGATACCTCTGCTCATACCTTTCTAGGACAGTCAGTTCCTATTGGACTTAAATAGGGCTCCATGTAGTGAAGATTTTCTGCTTTTACCCTACCATAACATCTAGAAATTATCATTACAAAATCTAAAAGAAGATGGCATTTTAAAGTTTCTGGATCCTGCAGAAAATGCTATGTTACATATTTTTTTGCAAATTTCAGTAGTCTCTTATGATAGATGGATATTTATTGTTATGGTCAGTGACCACTGTAGTTAAATGATTTACAATATCTCCATTATGCAATCAAAAATGATCCCATAAAAATCAAAAAAAATAAAAAGGAAAAATACTCATACATTTTCAAATAGTAAAACCCTATATGTAAAACTAACACAGTTTAATAGAATATGATGATGTAACTACTTCCCCAATGAAGCACGGGTAGATTTTGCTGTTGAGCAGAATTTAGCTACCTTCTCTGTAATCTGATGGTATTTATCTGCTAGGAGGACAATAAGATAAGATTCTTCATTCTTCCTGGAAAGTTTTGTTGAATAGGAACTATCTGAGCACAGATTGCCCTGACTTCCTTCTTAGGAAAGTTTTTTTTTCACTAGATGAAATAACAGTTCTCACTGCCTTGGGAAACTCTAATTAGCCCCAGTTGAAGACAAATATTCCATAAACAGGGGTCAAGTGATCTTTGACCTTTCCCATTTCAAAATGTTTGGTCTGAGTTATTGTTTGTCTGCACTTGTTGCCATTCTGGTAACTAAATAAAAATCCTTTTGAAGATGGATATTTCCTTCTCATGGGTAGTCCAAGCAAATGAAATTAGATCTGATAATTGTGGTTTAGATTTATTTATTTATTTATTGCTTGCTCATCCTCTCCTTTCATCTGTCATCTAGCCATAATTTAATCAATAAACACTGC